AGCAGAGCTGATTCCCTCTCCCAGGATGTGATACCAAGCTCCTGCCATTACTGAGCCAGAAAAGGTCTTCCACATTCCAGGAAGGACCCCCTAATAGGGAGGTGAGACATGAGCTGACCAGGCTGAGAAGAATGATGGTCTGGGCTCAGGCTTGCTTAGTAACAGAGACTGCTGCTTGAGCAGAAGTGGATGTTCAGACCTTTTCTCTGTTTTCTTGGAAGAGCCAGCAAAATGCCCCCAAGAGAGCATGGCTGCTGGAGTCTCAGTTCAGCACGATGGCAGGGAGAAATTTACTGGCGCACACAGGGGGACTAACTATTATGCTAATTGTAAATGACTTTAGGGGAATATAGGTCAGCAGAGCATAATCTGTCCTGCAGTTTGGCCAGGATATACTATGTTGGTACCTCGGCCACAAACTGCCAGGAGAGGTTCATGGATTGTGCACAGTTGAAATAGAAGATTGGGTTGCATTCTGAATACACAGGAGCAGTTCTAGCAGCCAGAATTAATAGTCAGAGCCAGATGCTCACCCACCTCCCACTCCTTCTCCCCAGAAAACAGGATGCCTTTCTTGTCTGCTACTCGCTGTTCCCAGCACCAGCTGATCAGGCGTCTCCTTCTCCCCCGGCTGGTACAAAATAGGCGTCCATCTTCCAGGAAAGGCACAAATCTTCTTTGACAAGCAGTGATATTAACAGGGATTAGGGAATGCAAGAGCCACTGCCAGAATTGAACAAAGGATGCAGCCCAGGCTGCCTGGCTCTGGAAGCTTTTTAATCAAGATTAAAGGTTACACTGAGGACGGGGCTGTATTTTCAACCCACCATGAAACCACCCCTTCCTTCATCCATTCAGAGCAAGGATTTCTGAGCAACTGTCAGCCTGTGGTGGGGAGGGGGGCTCACTCCAGCATCCATCCTAACCTCAGGAATGGGGTGCAGGGATGGAAAGGGAACATTGTGCCTGACAAGGCAGTTAATAAAGGCATCACGCCTACTGGCTTGCATTGCCTCCCAAGCTTAGATAGCATCATGGCACAAGATATTCTCCTATCAGAGCTCCCTTGGTGCATGGATGACAGGTAAGCTTTGCCTTCAAACCCCAAGGGATCCTCTTTGCCAGGCAGAGGATTCCCATTCTCTCAAAAGCAGTGAGTTTGGTAATTTGCAAAGAACATCCACCCCTACCTCCTCATCTCCACTCATGTCCTCTTGCAGCAAGTCCCCACTGTGTACCCAAGGCAAGGTCTGGACCTGCATAGACAGTAAACAAAAGCACCTGCAAATAATAAAATCCCATGCCATCGGAATTTGTGGTTTCCAGTGTTTTACCAATATTATTTTCTAGATGCACTCAAACTTTTTTTTCTTATATTTGATCTCTTTTATTTTTCAAAGATCCTCAGGAACATTTGCCATTTCTTTGTGGGATGAGAAGTGATAGATTGAACTCCAGCAACAGCTGCTGTCTGAGTACCAGGATCACACTTGGGACTTGGACATACATTTTTGATACTTGATACTGAAGTTTCAATGTCTTAAAGTCATGTGTGTTAACATAGCCACAAGACCACTTCCAAAGATTCAGAAAAAGCAAACTCTTTAGCTTTTGCATAGAGTAGAATAATCACTCTGACTGACACCTAGTGCAGATAAACTCTTTAAAATGGCCAGTTTTCACAGCCATTTCAGGTATGGCAAAGTGGCTCTCAACACAGGGCATAGAATTTTCATGGTGAACTGAGGGAACATTCAGGCTGAGCTTTCTTCACCACAGCTGGGCTGTTGCTGGCACTACAGCCAAACTGGGTGCAGTGTAAAGTCTGTGTACACCAAGGGGTGTGCGCATGTGTGCACACATTGCTGCATGTGTGGCAGCAATTCTCTGTGTGTTTTAAAAAGCCACCCCATCCATATGATATGCTGGATGACGAAAACATTTACACATGAAGTTACACGCTGACTCTTGTCTGGATTTGAAGCTGGTTACACCCAGCCTTTGGTTTCATGCGGTTTTAAATGAAGGTTTTCTTCCTCATCCTTAGAAGTGCCTCTATAGTCAAACAGGAAAGAGGAGAGGGAAAGAAAACAGACAAACCAGGGATGATTCAAGGCACCCACCAAACACAGCTGTCTCTGGTTACTAGGTGTCTGTTATCCTGTATCAGTCATATGTGGACAGCCATTAAGTACATGTGTAAATAATCACAACTGCTGAGCCCCTCATCGGTTTTAGCAGGAAAAATTGCCTTTGTGAAATTGCCACAGGATGTGCCTTATTCTCTGGTCTGTATTCATTATTCTCTTGTATAAAAATTTCATTTACGTAGTCAGAAACAATGCCACGAGATCTAGGCCAGAAACCGCACACCCTAACTAACCAGGAAGAAAAGCCAAAGCAAATATTCCTGGGCTCTGCAATACACAGTATTGCACAGCATACACACACTGGATAATTACCCACCCAAAATATTCAGAGGATAACAAATACAGTATTAAAAAGAAATAATGTCAGGATTGGTCCATGAGCCATTCAGTGGCCAAATGCTGAAGACACAAATCACAATTTTGAATCAGTTGCTCGAGGGTCCATTCAGTGCCATGGGGGCTGTGGGTTCTCCCCCACTGCTGGTGCCTGCCACAGGGTTGGGGGGGTGCCAGAGCAGAATGCCCTTCCCGCCAGCTCTGAATAAGCACCCTGCCCATTTCAGCACAGCCTGCAATGCACAGAGCTCTCAAAAGCCAGTGCTGAGGACAGCAGCTGCCCTGAGAACCCCAAGCTGTCACCCTGCAAAGCAGCGCCTGGGCTTGTGCCAGCCACGTAGTGCTGGACCCGCTCCCATATGTGTGTGGACTGACTTCCTTCAATGCAGTACATTTGGTCCCTCCTCAGGATGCTGAAATAAATAAGGTCACTTGCACACACACACCCTGTTTATCTTCTTCGCTGCCACCAGCTCTCACCCTCTTCAAATAGGATTGCTACGTCCCTGCTCACGTACCCTGCTCTGACACCCCTACTCTGGTCTCCTTCCTGGCTAAACAATGCTGGTTTCACATTGCAATCAAAATTAATCCCGAGAAGTGGTCCTGCAGCTGGTAAGAAATGAAATGTTATGATGACTTAAAGGCTTAGGAGAGGGCAAGGGTCAAGTGGATTACCCTCCTCATATAGCTCACAGGTTTTCTATTAGGAAAATCCCCCTCCAGTTGTCAAGAAGGCAAGCTACAGAGATCATAAACACAGTTTCTTCTCAAGACAGCACTTTCTCAAGACCCACCTCCTCCCTCTGTCCCTATCCCCTAATGACCTCCACCAGTTAAAGCCTCTGGGTGACTTACTTCAAAAGCAGGTTGCAATTTCTAACTCCAGTGTACTCCTCCATTGACTCTGGGTGCCAGTTGTGATATGAATGAATAAATAATCATGTAAGCAGACACACTTAGGTCTGGATTACTTTTGAGAAGAGAGATTCAAAGGCATTTCCCTAAAATTCACACTAAGGTGAATGGAAAAGAGAGGATCTAGACACTGAGGGAACTTCACGGTTCAGTGCTTTGAACTAACTTATTAGCCTACTAACAGATTAACTGTTCATAAAAAAAAAAAAACAAATGGGCAAAACCCAGCAAACAAACACAAACAATAAAACAAGAAAACCCCAAACCCAAATCGTAGATATTATTACTCCAATGCATCTCAGCATTGATATCTCAACATTCCAATACAAAATTTTCACTGCCCATCCTTCCATTTTCAAATCATATTTCCTCCAGCTCTGTGGCAAAATTTTCTTGAATTCTGCCATGAAATCCTGGATTACTGTGCCAAAGCCACTGCCATTGAATGGAAGTTGCCAGTGGATAGGTGTGAGCTGAGCTGATTTGGTCTCCGAAGCACGTGATCTACCCAACATAGAGACGTTTATCCAATAGAGCACTCTGATGATTTGTATTTGACGCTCCAGAATAGCCCATCAGGCATCTTGTAGCAAAGACAAAGAAGGAAAAAAAATCTGACATGACAGCAAAAGGTAATTTTTCTCCTGACACAGGATCTAATATTGTACATCAATCAAGGGCTACTAACTGGCCAGATCCGCACTCAGAATGTTTACACTGATATAATTGAAGAAATATTCCTGCTTAGCATACTTTTATAACAGACCTGGTATGTGCAGCTTTTGTTTACCTACAAGCTTTCTGGTGAGAAATATGTTGGGAAGAGGCTTTGTTTGCTGTAGTTTGCTTTTACAGTGCTCTGCTGGTATCTCTTTTGCTAGTATACAGAGGAAAACTTCCTTGCAGTCTGGCATGGCCCCATTTCTCAGTTTTCCTCTTCCAGCAGAAATTTTGAACTCAGCCAGTTCATGGTTATTCCCGATTTTCTCAGCTTCCCTTGTTATTGCTCAGGGCTGCAGCTTGGCCCTAGTCTCTGAGAGAAACTCATGCCTTGAAACAGGAGTGTGCACTAGGAGTCATCTATCTCCAGCAAGGATGATCTCTGGAGGAAAAAAGCAGGGTTAAGCTATAAGACTTCATTAAGAAACACCTTCGTGAGACTGTTTCACTGCAGGTGAAATACCTCTGAAATGGGTGGAATTGCACATGTTCAAAACTGGAATAATGCAGCTGGGTATTCATCTCCCAGTAACCCAGCTGAGGGCTGTCCATGCACACACACCTTTGAATATCCACACAGGGAATGACAGATCACAGTGCTGCAACTTGCAGTAATAGGAGAAAACAACAGATCAAAGGTGGCCTCTTAATCTGTTTTGATCTGTGCTCCCCCATCTCAGTTTACAAGGCAGTACTTCTTCGTGTGCATGGCTGGAGGGGACCATCCAGCATTTGTGCTTTTATTGTCTAGGAGACTTAGTCTTCAGCCTGAGTGTAGTCCAACACACATTTTACCATCTGCTCTATTTCCTATGTGCCTATGAGATCATTTTTCTACACGTGAAATTATAACATGACGATTCACATATGCTTACACAGCTTATATCTATTATTATTTGTTAAACACTGAGAAGTTCCTTGGCACAATACAGGGCCCAGCATGGAGACATATCAAGCCCTGAAGCCATGCTTCATGTGAAGTACACCCAAAATGGCTATTCTGGCTGAAAGAGCAGTGTTAGGAATTTCAAACCACTTCCCTTCCTTGGAGTTCTGAGCAGATTCATGACATTTCTGGCAATGCAGCTTAAAAAGCCATTCACAGAAATTTGTGCTGCAGTCATCACAAAAGCTTTCTTTTTTTCCACTCATGCAAAACCCAATTTTCAGCACAAAATATACATTTCAGCAAGTTTAAGATAGTCCATAAAGATTTTAGAATGCAATTTTAGATCAAAATTATAATAATAAAATGTCACTGTTCCTTTTTTAGTTGATAGTTATAATAATGTTGGTTGTTCATGAAGAAGTTCACATCTTAGCAAAACTTGTAACACACATTTTCCCATTTCTAATTTATTGTGTTATTCTCCTCAGCCTTCATCTCTCATATTCCTTGCAGGAGCATTAAATGAGAGCTGAAACAACATGGCTGAAACAGAGCTCCCTGTTCTCTTTCCTCTCTCTTCCTTTTTTGGTTTCCATCCTCCTGTTCTGGTTCCTCATCTCTCCTGAAGACAAGGGCAGAGGGTGGCTGGATGCAGTCCCAGATTCACAGGGTGCCATGTGGCCATCCACGTCCTCTCTCACAGTCCCACTCCGTGTGCAAAGGAGGATATTTCTCACCTCCCCTGACGTGTCTAAAATACAGATGTCTGTATCTAGGCTATGTGCCTGAAGCTCTCTCAGTACCAAGAGGAAGAAACAGGCATGGATAAAGTGCAATTCACCTCATCCTAGGTGGGGTAGTGCCCAAAATAGGTCAGATGAATCATGGCTTCAAAGTGCCATGCTCTGCTGACCACAAAGAGAGCCTAGATGACTAAATGTTTAGTGTTAGCTGAGACAGAACCTGTCCTCAAGCATCTTTCCTTTATGTCATTATTCTGTCTATTCCCGTGTTGCTCCCAGCACATTATCCTCCTGAACTGTCCAACTGGCTTTCCTTCTCATGAGTGGCAATGCCCAAAGAAATGGTAACTTTCCTCCAGCTGCAGCTCTGAAGCAATTTCCCAGCCTGGGCTTTCTTCTCAGATATCTCACTGATGTAGCATTTCATGGAGTGCCTTGAAAAAATAATTTGCAAAAGCTCCTAGCTTGTATTTCACATCTCTTTTCAGAATTCACCTCTACCAGGATGCACATGCTAGAGATTGCCTATTGCTAGCAGCTAAGTAGGTGGTCTTTTAGGAATCATTAACATTCTTCCTCTTGTGCATTAGCCCCTCCAAAAAAACTTCTAAGAGTGAAACTTGCTATTATCCTATCACCAATATTCTAGGGCTGGCAGAGCCAGGGACTCGAGCCCCTCAAGTCTACAGGGTGGGTTTATACAAGGGTTTACAATAGCTTTCTGACACTTTGTGAATGGCAGCATAAGTTACAATGCAGAAATAGATTAACAAGATAAAGTGGTTTTACTTCTTTAAATAGCCCTTACAGGCACCAGAGTTCCTCTACAGATTTAAAGGAGTCTTTTCTTCTTACTCCTCCACCTTCCACATTTTAAGCAGGTAGCAGTGAATGGAGTACACATTGTGAAATGCCATTGCCTCTTCATCAGGTTACAGCACTAGAGAAAAAATAAAAAGAAAATCCAAATGAAAATCTCTTTCCAGTCTCACTCTACCTCAGAGTTCCCCCTAATAGCTGAAAGGGATTAAGATCTTAAATAACTTGCTGACAAAACCACTGTACAATAGGACCAGTTGGTAACATTGGAAGGAGATGTTCAGCTTTGTTTTTCTTCATGCTCATAGAGGGTCTGACTAAAATCAACTATTCTTCTAGCCCATAAATAAATGCAAAGCCTGATCCAGTCGCAGGAACTCCCAGCACAGGGTTGAGGCTTCTGAGAGCATGATTTCTGGAAGCAGTTCTTCCCATGTGGACACACTGTGTGCCAGCAAATATCTGCTTTGGCAGGAACAGAGCTTGTTAATCTGAAGTGCCAAATGCCCACACATCTCACAGAAACCCATGAGATCCCAAAATCCAAGAAAATGGGAGATGGAAAAGATCTTTGCCTTTGGGGTAAGCCCATTAACATTAAGCTCCTGAAGAGGCTGAGGGATCACCAAGAAGTTGCTTTCATCTTCTGCAAAATGTCAAAAAGAGCATCATCCTATCACTGCACCTACACATCCCAGCTGGCATTCGGACACGGCTGTAGCAGCTGACAGGAATCCCAGATCAGAGTGAGCATGCAGGCACAAGCATGGAGCTGAAATATTGCTGAAGCTAACAGGAAAGGAGGCAGGACAGCAAAAGCACCGAGTTTTGCACTGCTGGCCTTGTATTCTAACATTGTGCAGACTCAAACAGAAGCAAGCCAACTCATTTTTGTGTACAACAGAGGAAGCAAATAATTCTAGGAGAGGGATCAAACGTCTGCCTACCAGTCTTCAAGAGTGAAAAATACCTGTACAAGTCACCCAGAATATCCCTTAACATCAGCAGTTTTTGCTTAGCACAACCTGGTATCAAGTAATAAAGAAAAATCACCGAGTTGTTGCCAGTTGCACTTCTGCTACAATTTGGAAAGCCAAGACCAGCTCCATGGCAGGATCAACAGAACAAGCCAAGGACCAGCAGCCATTGTTCCTATTTGTAGCTCAAATTGGTGGTTTCCTTTCTACATGGGTGGTAGGAACCATCTGGTCCCACTTAGACATTTATAGGAAACATGTACAGGTCAGCGCAAGATGTTTCTAGGATATTTTTCTAATTGAGAAGGAGAAAGAGGTACTTCCATAGAGAAAGCCATCACATCCTAAGGTAAGCTCAGCTAAATGAACGTTGCTTTCCATGGATGGTAAGGAGAACCTCAGACTCATTGGATTGCCAGTGAGTGGCACAATGAATCCTACACATAGCACCTCAGCCTTCCACACCTTTGCAACACCACTGCTGAACATTTTAACTGCAATTGTGTTTTGGAAACTACAACCTAGATAGACAAGATTCCCAGCATCAGGATCTTCCACATATTACCAGCCACACATGACTATGCTTAGATCTGTTTCATGACAAAATCCTTATTTCTTCCTCAGCTTTGGAGGTCTGACTCTTCTGCATGGCTCTCCTGGTGCACGTACTGTCCTAGATAAAGAGGCCCAGCCCTGGTACAGAAGAGGAATGGTGTCCATATGAGCATTGCCCTCAGCCTGTACCTTCCTACCCTTTCCTCTCCACTCTGTCAGTCTGGTTCAGTCTGATGACTTCTATAGAGACAACAATTGTAAGGATCACTTTTCAGGTTCCACCTGGCAGGGTTGGTGTGTGCCTTCAACCCTCACCCAGAGGTCAAGACATGGCCTTCAAAATGCATTGCAAATACAAATCACCTGAGACTTCAAGCTGCTCTGGCTTGTGCCTCATTAAGCTGCATGGTGATAACAGACAGCGATAACAACTGTGAAATCCACACCTGAAGCCTATTGGTTCTTGTGAGAGGTACTTTTGCCACTGGCCTTATGCTTCTTGCAAACAGACACTAGGTCAGAACAAACAGAAGAGCAAGAAAGCATCATTACCAGGCAGCCACTGAGCAGAGAAGGCTTTTTCCCTGTGGTAATTTACTCCATAGTTTTCAGATTTGCTAGTCTGTTTCGGGTCATGTTGTTTCAATGTCTTTTCTCCAAGAATAAATACAGCATGAAAAGTCTCCTAATGGACCCCTGTAGACAGAGTCTAACTCCAGGTCATAGAAGCAGCTGGCAAACATACTCACAAGCTATAATATCCACATGACAAACCTCAATATTCACTCACGCCCCATTAACTCCACCATCAGCATGAGCCCTGTGCTTCCAAGAGCATGGGTGAGGGACCCAGGGGAGCCAGGTGGAGATGTCCCAACCATGTGCCTGGGTACACCCAGCAGTGGGGACCAGAGCTGGGCAGCAACATTCAATTGATGGTACTTCCCAACTCTGTACAGAGGCTAAATCCAGCATTGGATATTCAGAATCATAGAATCATTTAAGTAGGAAAATGCCATCGAGCTCAAACATTACCCCAACACTACCAAGGCCAACAATAACCATGTCCCTAAGTGCCACATCCTCCATGTTCTTTAAATACATCCAAGGATGGGGACTCCACCACTTCCTTGCACAGCTTTTCCAGTGTTTGATAATCCTCTCAGTGAATAATTTTTCCTAATATCCAATCTAAATCTTGCCTGACACACCTTGAGGCTGTTACCTCTTCCACCACTTGTTACTTGAGGGAAGAGAACGTCTCATTTTCTACAACCTCAGATAGTCATAGAGAGTGATAAGGTTCCCCATAAGCCCCCTTTTCTCCAGATTAAACTATCCTAGCTTCCTCAACTGCTTCTCATAAGATGTGTGCTCCAACCATTCTCTTGACTTGCTCCAACACCTCATTGTCTGTCTTGTAGTGAGGGGCCCAGAATAGGACAAAGGGTTGAGGTGTGGCCTCACAAGTGCAGAGTACAGGGGATGATCACTGCCTGAGTCCTACTGGCCACACCGCTGCTGATGCAGGCCAGGATGTCATTGGTCCTCTTGGCCACCTGGGCACACTCTGGCTCATGTTCAGCTGCTGTTGACCATCACCTCCAGATCCTTTTCCAAAGGGCAGCCTTCCAGCCACTCTGTCCCCAGCCTGTAGCACTGCATGGGGTTGTTGTGACCCAAGGGCAGGACCTGGCACTCCACCTTGCTGTACTTCATACAAATGGCCTAGGCCCATTGATCCAGCTCACCCAGATCGCTCTGCAGAGCCTTCCTGCCCCTCAGCAAATCAACAATCTCACACAACTTGGTGTCCTGTGAAAATTGACTGAGGGTGCACTCAATCCACTTACCCAGGTTCTTGATAAAGAAATTAAACAGGACTAGCTCCAAAACTGAGCCCTGGGGACACCACTTGTGACCAGCCATCAGCTGGATTTAACTCTATCCACCATTCTCTGGGTCCAGTCATCCAACCAGTTTTTACCCAGCAAACAATGCACCTGTCCAAGCCATGAGCCATCCTCCATGAGGATGGAGATTGTCCTTAGCCTTCCTTGTGTTGCTGATGAATTGACAGAAACATTTTTATTGCTTTTATGTCAGTAGCCAGAACAAGTTCTAGCTTGGCTTTAGCCCTTCTAATTTTCTCCCTGCATAACCTAACAACAGCCTCGTACTCCTCCTGAATTGCCTGCCCCTTCTTCCAAAGGTCATAAACTCCCCATTTTTTTCCTGAGTTTCAGCCAAAGCTCTCTGTTCATCCAAGCTTCTTCTTCCCCACTGACTCATTTTTCAGTATATGGGGACAACCTGCTTCTGCACTTCTACGATTTTCTTCTTGAAGAATGTCCAGCCTTCCTGGACCCTTTTTCCCTTCAGGACTGCCTCCCAAGGTACTCTCTTGTTGTATCGCGGTCAGCTCCTCTCACCGCGACACCCCGAGCGGTGGCGTGCTGGGTGGCGAGAGGGAAGAGAATGGGCGGCCGCTCCCCCTGCGAAGCTCTGCTGTCCCAGTTGTCAGCGCGGGGACAGACGGAGGCAACACGGGACTTGGGGGTGAACAGGATGGTTTTATTCAGTGAGCCCCAAGACCCCCCGGGGAGGGTGAACAAAGGTTTTATACCGGAACTCAAGAGGAGGGGTTTAGGAACAGCAACCAATGAGAGTAGGGCTGGGGAGGAGTCTAAGGAGGGACTAAGATATCACAAACCTGTCGGGGAAACAGGGGAGTGGAGTAACACAAAGTAACCAATAGGGTGTTGAGCCTCACTAAACAGACAGGGAATGCTCTGGAAGCAGGGGAGGAGGCTGGGAGGAGTGACAGGGAATGTTCTGGGGAAAGGGGCAGGGAAAGGGAGGATTGACAACTTGGAGAGGAGGGGGTTAGGGAAGAGCCTGGGAAGACTGACAACTGAGGAAGGGAGGAGATTGGGGGGGGGGTGGTGAACAGACACTGAACAAATGTTGAATCAAAGAAAAACACGCCACAACACTCTCTCAACCAGTGTCCTAAACAGGCCAAAGTCAGCCCTCCAGAAGTCCAGGGTTGCAGTTCTGCTGACCACCTTCCTTACTTTCCCAAGAACAAAAACCTGGGTTATTTCATGGTCACTGTTTCCCAGGCTGCCTTACAGTGACCATCACATCACCCACCAGCCCTTCCCAGTTCACAAAGGGCAGGTCCAGTGGTGCAGCTCTGCTTGCTGGGTTCCTCACCAGTTCTGTCACCAAGTTATCTTCCACATACTCCAGGAACCTCCTGGACTCTTTTCTGTATGCTGTGCTGTATTTCCAGCAGATGTCTGATAAGTTGAAGTGCTCCGCAAGAATGAAGGCCAGAGATTGTGAGACTTCCCCCCGCTGCTTACAGAATATTTCACCTGCCTCTTCACCCTTGTCGGGTGGTCTGTAAGAGACTCTCACCAGGACAGCTGCCTTGTTGGCATTCTCCCCTGATTTTTATCCATGGGCACTCAACTCTCTCATCACTGTCCTTAGACAGAGAAAGAAGACAAACAGAGCCTGGGACTGATGCTGGTACAGTAAACTGCAGTAATAGGTCAAGCTGTCAGCTGTTATTAACCTT